AATCTTGAGAGTTTTTAATGTCCTCTTACCCTTAACAATGGCTCTCTTAACCTGTTTTGTTAATATACACAATATAATATGGGGTTTCTTGTTTGTTTTTGGAAGTGAGAGTAAAAATTTCTTGCAACAGAGTGGTGTCAGTGGAATATTTCCTAGTTTTAAAATTTTCAACCATAGGATGCAAAACTTTTTAAATTAAAAGAGAAGTACAATCAATATATTTCAAACTACTTGAAGAATCGTAACAGTGCGAGTTCTGGAATCAAGACCTGGTAAGAGTAAAGTCTTTAAAAAATTTTGAACTTCTTGGTTAGAGCTTGTTTTGGAATAGTTTACCTGAGATAATGGATTATGCTAACTTATTGAATTTATTCAAGTTTTTTTAATGTTCAAAGAATTATTATCATCAAATTATAATCTTGTCCACCCTAATTATAAAAAAAAACTACTATTTTAACAAACAAACTAAAAGGTTAATCCACTAGCTATTACTAGCAGGAATCTCTTTTTTTAACCATTCAAATGTTTCGACTGTCATTATCTTAACAGGATAAATTGTGAGCCAGATATTTTTGTTTTAGTTAGTGGATATATTTAGATATTTTGAAAGTTTGATTGAGGATTTTATATACATGTCTCCTGTATCTGCTTGCATTTGAATAATCTTGAATATATTATTTATCTACACATAATATTTAGCATACAAAAGTAGGTTTAATGATGTTAAGCCTATTTAAATCTTGTTAATTTCACACTGCATTCTAGTAACTTAACCATTCTAAAGTCTTTCAATACATTTCATAAAATTTTAAAATACTAGTAATATTTCTAGATGCCTAGAGAAATTAACTTTAAAGACAGTATCACTATTTTGAAGAAATGCTAAGCCTTATGGACACAGACTACAATACTGTATTTAGTATTATGGTCTTTATTAATATAATAATTAAAATATCAAATAAATGAGGTTATTATAATGACAAAAAATTAAGCTTTTTTAATGAAAAAAGGTTTGATATGACTATACATATAGTGTTCAAGATAAACAGAGATTTAAACAGTTTTTTCTGAAGTCTATTTGAGTGTGTGTAGTGAATGTGGGCTATGTAAGTAGGTTTTAAGCAATTTTTGATGTCCATTAATGCAAAGCTTATATAACAGTCATATTCCACTTTTAAAGAAACTCACAGACAAAGTAACGTATGATTTACAATAGGTACTGTGAAAGTTAATTGATACCTAGTGTCTTATGATTTTTAACTAATGGAATTTTTTTTTTTCCAAAACTAAAAACACACGAAATGACACACCTTTTACAAGTTAGTAACAAAATAAGGCAAGTTATATTATTTCATTTAATTCCCTTCAAACTGAATTTGGTAATAACTTGATAGGCCTATATCATATATGATCAAACATATTGATACAAATTACTGCGGACAAAAACAAAATGTCGTAATACAAAAGTATAACTATAAGCAAACGATGCACATGCAAGCACACAATTTCAATGCTTTCATGTAAAATAAAAAAATTCAAAAGTTCAAAACAATAAAGTAAAATGCCAGCGGTAAAAGTATTACTAATACTAATGCTACTCCCTGGCTCTAGGTTATTTCTTTTTCAACTGAATTAGTTAGATTTGAAAATGTTTATAATAGTTTTATTACCTAAACCAGACCTTTACATTACTTATAATTTAATGAATATATTTACCATTTTACATCTTCCTTTAAATACAACAGCAAATGCTCCATGCCCTATAAGGTCCTTTGTATTGTACTCGTAGTCTCCTACAGTCTCCATGACTTTGTCTTTGTTTTCCAAATCTTTACATGTATAAGTTAACTAAGTTTACTTTAAGTTAAAGTTTAACATTTGTAATGTTTAGATGATGCTACTCAGTTAAGGCTAAATTACTAAAAACTGAAATACTACGCTTCTCAGCTACAGTGCCAAAGAACAGAATGAACCTTTTTCGTTCCATGTTTACATGTTCCCTATGACAACTGCAACTATACTAAACAGGATGCTCGAGTTTATCTCTAAACTATTGCCTGGCACTCGCATCAGCTGTTTTGAGCATGTCTATAATCCAAACATATATAAACGCCATCGGTTGACAGTATTTAGTACTAAAATTCATGACATTCAGTGATCCTTTTGCCATCTTCTCGGCTTATTCAATTTTACTAAGAATTTTCGTCAGATCTTCCAGATTTTTCATTTCATACATAATCCTAAATTAACGAGTTGCAAAATGTAAAGCACTTCTTTCGTAGCATTTATTTAAATATTTATGTACAAACATCATAACACAACAGTCAACTGTTTAAAAAAATAATTAATGCCCCTCTTAGTTTCAATACGGTATTCTCAGACTAGGATAAATTTTTCTAGAACTAGCAAGTCAAAATATCAATGATTTATTGGACGTGATAAGGAGCATGCTTCATTTAATAAAGCGCTGAATAACTGAAATTGTGAGAAAAGGGGTAAACCAACCGAACCCAATAAACAAATAATGTGGTTTAACAAATTGTGTACTTGGCTTATCGATTAATTGTCTCTGACCTGTTTACATTTCAGTTTCTACAATCCATACAATCATCTGGTTAAAAATGATTTAATATAATCTACAGAGGCTTATGGGCTGAAATATTGAATTTTGCACTACAGTAAGGTCTTGCCCGCGCTTATCATATGTTACTTAAAAGTTTTTGTTATTTCTTAGAGAAAAATTTACATTTGTTAATCAATTAATCTTTTGATTTAAAGGAAGTGACCATTAACACTTCACCTAAATTTTACTATTATTTAATTGGTTCTGTCATCTGAGAAAGCAAACTTATGAAATTTGAAAATATATCAACAGATCGTTTAGTGTGTGAAATTCTAAGACAAAACTTAATAAAAAAACGTAACTATAAAACCATTAAAACAAGTTACTCGTAAAGTATGTTGCAGGATGTAGTTAAGCATCACTTGATTATGATATAAAAACTGCTCACAAGCTTTTCTTAAAATAAAACACATTATTTAATAACGAATAAATACATTTACTTAGATAAAAAACACTCAATAAAAAGATTCTTTGCTTCCAGGTATCATTCCCAGAATGCTCTGCTGCTCATTTCTTCTTGAAGTGAAGCAACCAAGACTGACAAAAACTTAGCCCTTGTATTCAGCGAGAGGCCTCATCGGCACTGGATATAGCAATTGTATTATGGTTGATGTATTATTACATTATTCTCTACCTTCTCTCATAAACACTTATAATAACTTCACTTGACCCACACCAAGACATAGTTCACAGCTACACGTTACAAAGAGTATGGTGAATATGAAAGTTCCAGCTTTGCTTAATTTGATATCAGCAACATGAAACTACTATCGTTCTCAGAATGCCTTGCCATCCACGTTAATGGATCAGCTCATTGGAAAGCAAAGTTTCGACATCTCTATTTATATGCTACATCTGACCAACATGCCATCAGTACATTATGATTAACCAAGTTATAACTGAATATTTCTCCAAATGAGCAAAAATAATTTTCACAGTTTATATTATCTTTATAACTGATCAACCATTTGACAAAATAATAGATATTTCCTATCCCATACGAGTCATATAGTCCGTCAAGACGTTATTGACAACAATGGAATTACCCCATGATATAATACATAACACCCTTGACCGAGTCCTATCCTAGCGAGTTACACCTAGGACAAATTGTACACTTGATTTACGTACGCGGGATTCATAAAGTCCTGAACTAAAGCTTTGAGAAAATTTTAAATATGCTTAGTGAAAAATTAGTACGTTTGTTTCTATAAATTCGCCCTAAAGTCATTTGTAGTACGGAACTGTACCATGCATTAGATTCCTACTTTGTTAATATGTAAAATTTTGATATCTCCTTTCAGTTCAGTTTGGATGCAGATAGCTAGTTAACTAAGCAACTCAACTCACCTTTCTTTGACACACATGAAACGTGAATTCATAAATGGTAATTAGCCGTATTTTTATTACAGGGGGGAGGGCACACTGAACAGGTAAGAGAAATCAATGAAAGGTATACCTACTTTTCTCTTGCCAGTTCAATACACTCACTAGTAACATTTGTTCTTATTTTATCTATGTCTTGTGATTTTAAGTGGTTTGTTTGTATATAAAGATCGTGGTTGTAATTATATGTGTCTTGACTCTCTTTTTTTTTCATGATGAACACAGTTAAAATTCAGAGGTACCACTTGATGTCAGACCCCCCCCTAGCCTGCCTGCCCTCCTTATAATCTTCAGTCATCTAGGCTCAACTTTGTCCAAGGCTTCGTCTCAGTGGGAGAACTTCACTGGTACAGCAGACTCCATTCCATTGATACAGCTTGTAGGTGAAGGCTTCCTGGCATCCTTGCAGCATTAGCAAAAGTCCCAAATCCAGGAGACATCCTCCAGATTTCAACATTCTACTTGTAGGTCATCCTTCCTTTTATGTTGTACTCTATGTTCTATGAAAAAGAATATTTCTGCTCTACTATAGACTTGGGGTACTCACTGAGTAATGACAAAGTTTGGCTATTCACTCACTTGGAGATAGCAAAATCTCCACAAGAGCAATATCCTTTAGTCATAGTGCTATAGTTCTATCTTTTATTTTCCTCTGTGGTATTTTCTAGTGTATGTATTTCCCTCAAAGTAATCAGTTAGAGTTCGTTAACTGGAGGTTCAGTAAATATCGAATCATGGTGTGTTTTTTTCCAATCTCTATAGGACCCCTAGATATTTACCATCCAGAGAAGCAGAACCTTGCCTCTTATTGATATCATCCACGAGAGAAATGGGCAAATGCCATTGGTGAATAAGCTTAATCTGCACGATCTCTTTCACTGGCATATAATACAGATGGCGCTCTCTGAGAAAATTTGTGATTTGTGGAGCAGTGGAGAGAGCCTCTTCATGCTGGGAGGTGCTCTGTCAAGTCAAGACCCAGACATCAGATGCCATTTTTAGATAATTCACAGCAGCAAGTGTTGTTTCATTACATGTGAAATTGTAAGTATTCATACAAATAAATCAATGATCAGTGGGTTAGTAGGGAGCTTCTCCAAGAAAGTAGGCACCAGCCCCACTGGCAGTCAGAAGTAAGGTAACGTTGATGGATGAGCTCCACCAACAGCAGCTGTTTTGCCAGCAGGCACTAATAGGTGAATATGAGGAGGAAGATTAGATGCAAGATGTGGAACCCCTCCATGAAGAAAGGCCAATAATCACAGTGGAGAGTCAGGAGTGAAAGGCCATTGGTAGATGACAGCCAACAACAGAAGCTGCATGATTGGCAGATGAAATAATGGGAACCCACTGATGATACTGGAAATTGGTTGGATAAGTCTCTCTCAACGAAGAGAAGAGAGACACCCTTCCACCCAGAGTGAAGCACCAATGGTGGATGAATTTAACCACCATTAGCTACATTACAGAAGAGTACAAAGTGTGGGCCAGCAAAAACTTACCCCAAGAAGAGAGGCAAGTTGCAAAGCAGCATGTACCATATATATACGGTGACCAGAGATTTGTAAGAACCTATGGATGAAATGCAGCAAGCATCCTGTCATTCAGCAACCCCAGGGTCGGGAGTTGACTCTTGTCAGTGTGTGGAGCTTCCAGATTTTTGCTTACTCAGTAACACATCGTCATACTGGATTGTACAGTTTGGAGCGGATCACGAGCTTGGAAGTGAGAGATATGCACTGAGATCAAGTACGCATGTGTTGGAGGCAAAGCAGATGAATCTCCAGATGCTTAAAGAGGCAGTCAGAAGATCTAGACCATTTGTTGAGGCATTTTAGACAGGTTATTGCCTCGAAGTGGGGGTCTCAGGAACAGGCAATGCAATGCCTAATTCTGAGTTTGGATGGTCTGGCTTTAGGTGACATGAGTATTTGATGAAGGTATAGCTTGTGGGCTTAGACTAGCTGCATCAATGTTATAACCCAGTCAAAACCGAGCTGTCCATTAGGTCAACCAAGTTTAGTCTCCCATGAAAGATACCTCTGAGAAGTTGGGTGCCTTCATAGATGACCTGTGCTATTTGTACAGAAAAGCCTACCCTACAATAGCATCAGCAGATTATGAAGACATTCTCGTTGACAAATTCTTCAAGTGACAACCAAGAGAGACCATGACTTAATTAAGAGTACAAGATATTCAAACCTTGATGGAGATATTGTTAGTGATAATGAGATTTGAGGTTGTCACCCGAGGCTAGTCGATGAAAAGGATGCAATCACTGGCAACAGCTGTTGTAGTGCCCCCAAGTACAATTCACCGCGTGCAAATCAGTATCTCCAATCAAACTTAGGTTCCCATGACATTGAAGCCACGGTTGACACTTCAAGATGTCATGGCACAGACAAGCTGTTTTTCAAGTAAAGAAGCAGGGCTATCCAGGACCTTCCCTACATTTGTACATATGGAGGAGATTCTGATATTTCGCCAAATGTATTAATCTGCTCTTATAAACCTGTACAGTTTTACAGCTGATAAGAATGGCAGGATTGAAGTTGAATCCCAGGAAGTGTCCACTGATGTACACATAAGAATAATTTCTTTGTCCAATTGTGGGTAGAGAAGGTGTCTTGACTAATCCTACAAAGACTACAGCAGTTTGACACTGGCTCTCCTTAATAATGATGAGATGGAAAATTCCAAGTTTCCTTAGGTTCACATCACGTTATTAATGTTTAACGGTCAATCTTTCCAAGATCACTGCACCAGTGATATATGCTCTCACTAAAGGTAATGCATATTTCATATGGACCAAGGATTGCGAGCACATATTCCTGTCAGTGAAACACTTGTGGTGCTGTATCTCTGACATAATTGTGAATTCCTTTTGGATACTGATGCCAATAACAGTGAAATTGGAGCAGTGCTGCCCCAGTGGCAGGATGGAGTTGAATGAGTGATAGCATATACAAGTTGTATTCTTATACTGTTCCTGAAAAGAAGATACTACATGATGAAGAAAGAACTGCTTTTAGCTGTGGTATTCATGAAGTACTATCAACACTACTTGTATGGCAAGAAGTGCAGCCTCAAAGTGGATTGTGTGTTGCTGAAATGGCTCATTCAATTTAAAAATCCAGATGGAAATATCATACATGGAATCACAGTTGCAGGAGTATGATATGGAATGCATCATTGAAACACAGGTGGACTATCTCGCTGTACAGTGAGACAATTTCCTTTCATTGAATGTTCTGATCCAGAAGGCCGAGTTGAGATAAAACTAATTTCAGCTGTTATGATGCAGAGTCATACAGTGGGTGATTTCACTGATGACTAGATGCCAAAAACTCACCTATCAAAAGCCCCAGGAAGAGAATTTACTTGATCACCTACCTAGAGAGAACTCTCCAAGTAACAGCAGAACACATGACAATAAGGGACAAGAGGTAATTCCATCTGTACATCATAACATTTGGAAAAGAAAACAACCAAAAAAAACTTTGTAAATGGACAATTTATTTAATTTGTGTGCCAAGATTGTTCAAGAGACTTCATAATTCAAGAAGGGACAGTATTTAAAGTTATATTTTCAATGTCATATTTCAGTTGCCTGCTGGATGGAGCTGATAATTGTGATACAATAATCAAAAATCTTCTTCTAATATCTAGAAACAAGAGTACATTATTTATAAATACCAATATGCAGTTAGTATCCAGTGAAGTATTTGGCGAATGATTCAGTTCAGTGTTTCCAGCGGACATTATCACATCTATTAAGTTCATTGATTGACTAGCACAGAAATTCTGTAATTGTAAGTAAATATATTTGTGTGTTAGGTGTAGTACCATCAGTGAAGAAATTCTATTGAAATGTTGTTTGTGAACTTAGGCCTGCAACTTGTGTCAAAGTGATTATAGCATATAGAAATGTTATAGAACGGACACCCATATTAAAGCAATACAAAAGTCATCTGGATTTTCTTCTCTACAGATCACCGGTAGCTAGATATGAAGAGCTACCTGGTATAGTCGCTCTATCCTCGGTGTATATGCCACTTTTCGGCTATCCAGAGCGTCCAAAAGTCGAAAATCGGCGAATAGTGAAAACCAAAATTTCATATTTTCATTCATCATCATCTTT